CCGTCTACTAGTTCTACCTCAGAACCATAAAAAAAAAAAAAAAAAGTAGACGTACAAATGACCTGAAGGATTGTTCATCTAAACTGCATTTTTTTATACAAGTGGTCACCATTACACAACCATAATCTTTTGAAAGAAGCATTTCAAAGCCAATAATTGAATTTAAAAAGGCTTATAGTGCACTGGGCATCAGCCATGTAACCTGGAAATAATTCAAAGAAGAACTGTTCCTTCTAATTCTTTTTAAAAATATTGTTTAAATTGATGATGAAATGTCTGGATGGTTGGAGAGACCAATGAATCATGTAATGGAAGATTTAGCTAATTCGAATGAAGACACTGAATGAATTAGAGCTTTCTATTGGACGCTTAAAATTGGACGCTTCTCCAGCTTAAATTACTTCTTTCATTTGGTATCAAGTAATTGAATTATGTTTGCCCAACTTCATTTATTTAGGTTTTTGACTTATAAACGTAAGAACTTGAATTTGACTTGATTCAGTTACTTGTTGCCAATTGAAACAAATCATTTACCTTAAGTTGGAGCACCATATTCACTACAGACACTTATTACTATATTATGTTCTCAAATATTTATCTATATAAGCAAATATTTATACGATTAAAACTTTAGACTAACTGTAGACATATATGTACACATTTTACTTCTCTCTAGTGAGATATTCAGCCTGAGAAATGTATTCTGTCAAAAAAGTGAGTGCACTTGTAGGTAATGTTTTCAAGGTAATGTTTTTGATTAGTTTGTATACAAAGTATTTCATTTCAGGCTTTAAACTGTTACATTATGTCAATGATGCAGTTAACGTTTTAATTAAATTCTATTTTTAAGGTTAAGTTGGATATTTATTCTAAAGGGCTGAATTAAACATTAAAGGGAGTGTAAGAGTGCGGACTATATGCATTATATTCATTAACTAAATAATGCATTTTTAGAATTATTACAGTGATTAATAAAAAAAGATGCACATCGCTCTTGGTTCAGAAGCATCCAAGTTTGACTCACTTCAGCGCAGTCAAATGTTTTTAAATTAAACATGCAATCCAACAAACTTTCTTTCCTCTTGATCAAGAAGCTTTATTGTCCAAAAGACGAACTTAGAATTTCTTACCGTACTATGACGTGTCAGGCTGATCATATTGGCTAATTTCTTTCCTTTTTATGCCACTCAAAAAAGCAACAATAATAAATAGCAGTCAAAAGATGTATGGCTGAATCCAAGAATTCAACCGGCCCAAATAGCCAACTCCTATATTTTCCAGGTGCTGCAGTCACCTGTCTATAATGAAGGGGCGGAGGCAAGAAGCAGCGTAAATTATGCACAGCAGCAATGCAACACACAGCAATTATTTCATAATTTCATAATTAAGTCAACTCATACTTCAAATATTTCACGTTCATATATGTCATACCAAATCAGACAAATAAAGAAATAATAGAATATTCAATCATAAATCAAGCATTTGGCTCCAACACTGGGAATTTTGTTCCCATTTCAATAAATACTGCTCATACCAGAGTAATCTTTCCTCCTCATGTCCCAGCGGAAATGTGTCTTGGTAGCAATCGGTGTAAACGCGTGAATACATGAGACGACAATACAGCTCAGGTGTTAGGGCAATTAAAACATAATTAAATAATGTGGCTACGGTAAAAAAAAACAAAAAAAAAAAACTGCATCCACTGATAACACATTGCTAAAATCACCAGAAATCTCCTTTTTATTCCAGTAAAATTTAGTTCTGTAATCTGTGGAAATGATATCACTGCTTTAAGATATCTGCTTGGCTTATCTGGAAAGAGTATCTGATACTAAGTGTGGTGACCTAGATGGAAAAGCAAATGCACAGCTGTGTTAAAGCAAACCAGAACAAGGGAACAGAGAAAAATGGGAAAGTGACAGAAAAAATGTGGGCAAAAGGAAAAGGTAAAAGAGAATCTCCAGCTGATTGGACACCTGGAATGACAGATGGGTCAAAGGTCATGAAGGAGCTGTCAAGCTGTCACTGCAGTGTCCTTTCAGTTCTTTAACACAGGTTGACTAAAGGAAGAAACCTCTCAAAGTCACTATTTGCCAGTTTGTTTTATCATTTATATATTCTTCATTATCTCCATTGTTATGTTTCATAATTTCTGCAATTCAAAACAGACTGACAAAAAAAAAAGTTTCCCATGAGATTGATGATGCATCAGCGCAAATCAACTTCAAGGTAAAATAAAATAAAGCAAACTCCACAGTAGTGACACCTCAGCCTCCAAAAGCAAAACATATCAAGGAAGGATAGCGATTAATATTAGTAATAATTAGTTACTAATATATTAGAACAATTATTAGTTATTCACATTTTAGCACACCATATCACAAAAAGGAGTTTTTAATATAAACACAAAACAATACCTATTAACTTCTACTAGATCTCCAAAGAGTGTGTTTAAAAAAAAAGTGTGTATATATATGTATATATATATATATATATATATATATATATATATATATATATATACACACAATTTAAATTGAGAACATATTTGGACATCTAATCTTTGTTTGGCAACTCATGATGTCAGTTTAGGCAAAAAACATAAGAGTACGGTAACAGCCCTTTCCAAATGATGTGGTAATTTTATTTATTGATTGCATAATAAATAACATTACTTCAATTTAAATTCCTAGAAAAGTGATGTATTGAAGTATGCAAGCTCATATTGAACAGAGATGAAGATTGGTGTAAGCAGATTTGAGTAATTGATTTCATAAGGAATAATTTTTCATAACAAAACCTGGCCTGCAGACAGCTTAAACTATCATTACAATTTTATTATCTGTATTGCAGCTAACAGCATCATTAGTCTATGCTTCATTGCTGCTCACTGCAGAAACAATTTACTTTATTGATAAATTGGAGAGAAAATAATTTGCAACAGCAAGCTGGTATTTAAATATGCATCTGAGGTCAAAAGAGTTGACATGAATTTGTGAAATTCTCTTATCTTCCTTTATCAGAATATTCACTAAAGCAAACAACAAATGTTTTCAATACATTAGTTGACAAAAATATCGACATGACAACATCTAAAGTCACTACAGTCAATGAATGCCCAAACTCAACACCATAGCAATGGATGAAGGCTGCTTTTTTTGTCTAATCCACAGTCATATAGCCTTTACCAGCTCTGATTGTGGTCTTAGTACACCAATTAAAAAGGACAAGAAATCAGGAGCTACTGGAGGTAAATAATCAGGACAGTATACAGTATATTGGGAAAATACCATTTCCTGGCCAGTTTAATGTTAATTTGACAAGTAGCGCCATCTTATGTCTTTTGCTCTTCCTAATTACAAAGTCAGTTAACAACAGTGTCCTCATTTTGCATCAAAATATTCCAAACTGGGTCCCTTTGACATGTTGAGGCATGGATCTAATTGGACGTCTAGCGATGTGTTGATGTGCAAACATCTCGCAGGGTTTGCAAACTGTAAACCCTGCGAGATTGAGCCAGTGTAATATCTAAATGGTTTCACCCCAAAAAACCCACAGATACTTGATTGGATTTAAATCCAGAAAAAAAAAAAAAATATATATTCCAAACCCTTTATGAAAAAATGGAAACGGTCGGAGGGAAACCAAAAACTTCTAAGACAGCGAAAGAAATAACAGTTATCTTCTATTTAAATACTTGTTATTGACTGAGATTCTACTACAACATTGTACAGGGTCTTTACAATGCTCAAGTAGGAGCAATATGTTAGGGTAACATCCACATGGATGGCAACACACTAAGCCTCCAGGCTGAATATTGCCCAAAGCCACACACTGCCTCCAAAGTCTGTCTTCTTCCAATATTACACCCCAGTGCCATGTGTTTTCCAGGCGTATCACATTTCCACACAATCCACATGATGGACAATGGACAGAAATATGCATTGGCATCCGACAATGCAGACGTACCTACAAAAGCCAGAGCTACCAAAAGCATTTATGTTTATTACTCAAGTAGAAATATGCTTTGTAACGCCATCTGTTTTAAAACACTTTTGTAGAAGTTAGAGTATCAACTAAGCTTTTTACCTAAGTAAAAGTGTAAAGTACCATTTTTAAAACTACTTACAGTACAAAACTAAAAGTAGTGCATGAAAAAAATGTTAAGGACAGATGCTTTAAACGTTATACTGGTTACCGCACTACCTTATTAAATGAACAATTTCCTACTATTCTGAATGAAAACTTCCTTGTACTTATTTAGTTACTAAAACTAATGGCAACAGGGTCAAATTAAACTTTGCATAATTTAAAAAAACTATTAGTTTTGGTATGTGGTGAAAAACAAGTTCTGGACAAAGAAATTGTCTGGATAAAATCATTTTTATGCTTTATTTATTTTTTAAATGCCAGAAGGCATAAGGAAAATTTGCTTAAATGAAACAAAACTAACAAGCCTATTTTTTTAAATGTAAGGAGTAGAAAGTAAAGATAATTGCAAAACAACTGCAAGTAGAGTAGAAATGGAAGATTTGTCTAAAAAATTAATTACTCCATTAAAGTGAAGATAGTCAAAATTTCTACTTAAGTAAGGTAATGAAGTATTTGTTCTTTTTTAGTTGACACCTGTAAGAAAAGCAGAACCAGCTTGAACTGCAACCATCCAACCACATATGGCAAGTGCATCACAGGTCTTGGCTGACCTTGTCCCTTTTGCTTGATTTATGTCCCTCATTAGCGGTTCAAGGTACAGTAGCTTAAAAACGTTCACTTGAAATGTATTTTTAAAGTAAAAAAAAAAACATCTGTTGGTTTTAATATGAAAGGAAAAGTTGATTTTTGGAGAGTTGATTTTTACATGTAAACAAAAGATTCACTACTGAAGACCTAATGACTTTCTGGTGTTTCTCAACATAAAAGCTTATTGCATCTGATGTTCTCACTGAAATTGTGACATTTTCAGAACATCTGGATTTTAAGTTTGCACTTATGCTGAGTACCTTGACGGGTTTCTTGCGCGCTAATTCTGCCTCGTTGTTCTCAGCCTCCTCGTGCTCCTTGCAGCCTTGGGGAAGGTTGGAGTAGTTGGCCAGGCTGCTGAGAAGGGAAGACACCATGGGCCTGGTGTCCATTTCCTCCTGAAGAGACAACGACGAATGGATATAATCAGTTAGCAGTGTGTTAAATTTTGGATAATCTCCAGAATAACCCCGGTCGACCTTGGCAGACAGCCACTCACACTGAGCCTGGTTCTGCTGGAGGTTTCTTCCTGTTAAAGGGGAGTTTTCCTCTCCATTGTCGCTACAAGCATGCTTAGTGTGAGGGATTGCCTTCAACTCAATGAGTTGATGCAATCAACTGGTTTTCCGTAAATGGAAAACTTCGACTGTATGATCTGGTTGAATTGTGTCTGTAAAAACCTTGAGATGACATGTATTGTGAATTGGTACAATATAAATAAACTGAATTGAATTGAAAACCACTGACTCTAGTTTTTTAATGAGTTATCTCCAAATTTGTAAAAGTTCAAGCAAAAACAAAATGAACACAGCACGTTTCCTATTAGATTGGGAAAAGTTATAAGGTCTTTCCTGTCACTGTGTAAAAGATGGCTGCATTAATACACAGCTCCAACATGCCCTTCTAACAATAACTACCTTCATTAATCAATGTCCGGGCCCTACGGTTAGATCCGTTAGACCCTGTGTCTAACTTTCAGTGCTGAACATGTGTATAAACCTTCTCCATGTACATGCGAGCGGGCCTGTGCAGATGAGATCTTACCTCAAACAAGGCCATGTTCTTGCCGTCATATTGTTGACTCTTTTCAGCTGCAGCTTCACTGCTGTTGATGAAGGGGCTGCTCTCTTTGGGATTACTGTCACCTGAAAGAAACAAAAACAGATATGTTTTAGGGCTGCACTGAAATAAAACAGGCACATAAAGGACAAACCTGCAGAGGGAAGTTTTTCTGACTTACATTAAGCCCCTTTTGGGTACAAAGTCACTTTCAAAAGCCCAGACTTTTTAAAAAGATCTTTCTATTTCTGATTAGGTGAAGAGAGACACACACGAGGCTTTAAGTACAGGATGTTAGCCAAGAAAGGACGGGAGGCTTGTCATCTCTGTCAGAGGGGGGAAGAAACAGAATGAAAGCTAATGGACTGTGCAATCGCAATATGTGCAATGCTATATATCCCATATGTCCAAGACCAGAAGATCTCAATCAGGTTCAAGCAACACTAAGATGTTTTTAAACCATCTCTGAAAGGAAAACAAGCACCACTGAAACATCATAAGGAATTCTTTCCAGCTTCCTTGTCAACAAAACCCAGAGACAAAGAGGCAGAGTGATGTTATTTCGGGTGACAGCAAGCTTAAGGCATCAAGGCTCCATGTACAAGCATCTGTCCACAAGTTCCCCTGCCCAGACCAAGCCGGGTCTTTGAACAACCAAAAAAAAAAAAATAAATTAACTAAAAAGGTTTTAAAACAATGTGATGAAAGTTTCTGCAACTGTCTGTCTGCAAACCTCTTTGATTTCCATGATATAATTGACAATATCACTGATGTCATGCATCGGACCATGATAACATCACTTTTGCAGCATTAGTAAACAAATCACCTCATTTCAGTTGTTCCCTTTACAACAGCAGCTATTATTTTAATTTGATAAACAGGCTTTATTTACTCTGTAATTGGGCTCTAACTCTGACACTACCTTAATTATGTCACTGAGTTGGACTCATATGACTCGGATGTCACCTAAATATGAGATCAGTTTAGTTTCTGATGGATGTCACATTAATACAAATAACCTAAATACTTTGAAATCATCTATGTGTAATTACGTTTTAAAATCCATATTTATTAGCAAAATTTAGTGAAATCTTTTGTAGTAGCAGGTTGCTCATGTTTGGCACTGTCAGACTGCAGTTCATCCCAGCAGTCAGGACTTTACATGTGATGTAGAAGGGAGTTTTTCCTCTCCACTGTCGCTACAAGCATGCATAGTGTGAGGGATTGCCATCGAGTCAATGAGTTGATGCAATCAACTGGTTTTCCTTAGAAAACTGAATCAATTTGACTGTATGATCTGGTACAACTGTAAAGTGCCTTGAGATGACATGTGTTGTGAATTGACGCTATAGAAATAAACTGAATTGAATTGATGTAGAACCAAGACTTCTTTTCATCACATGGTCACTCAACCTTTTAATTACACTCTTAATTTAAATAGACAAAAATTATTTATCAGCAGCAATTAAAAAAACATAATGACTCTAAAAGCATATTTATTAATTCCTATATCTGTGGTGTGAAACATGGGTGGGTTTGTTATGTCAGGCAGCCATATTAGTCTATGTTCGTAAGTGTGCTACTGCGGTTGAGAAGATTACCACTGTAAGATGGTATTTCAAATTATTTTATAGATATATTAAGTTATAAACATTTCATTATAATACACTTTACCAATAGAAGTTTAAATAATGTCATGTAAAATCAGTTTACATTTAACTATATTCTGAGGTATAAAATTACAACATGAACAATTTTAAATTGTTTGGGTTGTAATTATTTTTTTTATCCACACAATTTTAAAATGTGTTTTAGCATCTTGCAAAGGGACCACTTGCTTTTTGGAGTCTTTAACCAACATCAGCATAATTCTGGTATGATATCTGACTATCCCTCTTGGAAGGATTGAGACAGTTTATGTAAAATGCTGAACTTCTTGTGTCATTTAACGATACCATTAGAGCAAATGTCAGCTTCTCTATGGAGAACAGAAAAAATACAAACTGAATTTTCACAGACTAAACCATCAAAATGGATCATGAGATCAAACCATGTTGAATCTGAGCCCATTTCCTGTTCTGTTCTTATGGTGCATGAACCTGTGGAGATAAGCTGAGGGTTTTAAGGTACAAGAGTGGAAGAATTAACTTCCGTCAAGGTGCAAGTTCATCCGTCTTTCTAGCTTCTCTCTTGGACTATCACACAGAAAAGTATAGCCAAAAAAATGCCAGTAAAAGCGCAGGCGTTGAATTTAATTTAAAGGATTCTGTTTGCAGAATTAAAATGAATCGAAATTTGTTTAAGAAGATCCCGCTTACAGTCCAAATAAGTGCGCAATTTAAGTATTTTTTCTGAGAATGAATGCAGAAGAAAAAAATAGAAAGTACTGGACGTACAGTAAGTGTATTCTATTGCGATGTATTCCAATAAGCTTATTTCAATTTTTATTACTGAATGGACATCGTGTGGAAGCTAGAGAGCTCAAATAAAAAACAAGTGAGAGAAAAATAGGAAAAATTATTTAGAGAATTTTTAATAACAAATAGCCTTTTCAAAATAGTTTATGTGGCAACTGAGGAGAATGAAGTACTTGTAAACAAACTCTCCAGAGCCAGGCTGCAATTAATACATAACAGTGCATTTGGAGTGCTAGCTAGCATATGATAGCTTATGTATTTTCTTAAACTGTAATTTATAAAAACTCACTCACTAAAGCAGGCGCCCAAGGTGGTGATTTCAGTTTTGACCCATATGAACCATACTTCTTGTTAAATGGAAACTAAGACAATACCGATTGCTTCTATTAATCAAACCTTTAAAAAAAGCACCATGGATGCTGAGGACAACAAAAAAATGAGAAAATCACAAAAAATGATTAAAGCAATTTGATCACCATAAACAGCAAAGGTCTTGGTTGTGAAGGTTGCACGGTGTCAACTGTCTCATTTGCACCTTCAAGCATAACTTGAGGAAGACAGCAGATTGCTCTCCCTCTGGCTCTCGGTCTCGTCTTGGACTGAACACTGTGAGACCGGGTTATTTTTAGCCAGAATGCTGCAGCTATGATGTCGGAGCAGGGCTAACAGACGGCACGCCGTTGTGTGGAGACAACCGAATGTAGGGCCACTCAGACAGAGGGCACAGAGAAAATAGGGCAGCGTTGAAGGATTGTGGTTGAAAAGAGCACAGAAGCGAAATAATTAAAAAGGTAGCAGTTCAGTGAAAGGGGTAAAAGTAAGAGTGCAGATAAAAAGATGGAAGAAGAGACAGATAGATGGTGTGAGAGTGAACAGATAAAGTGGGAAGCCGCAGAGGGAGAGTGGAGCCACACTGTAAAATGTAAAAGCTCCTGCAACATTTAAGGTTCAGCTCACTTTGACCTGAAGGTTAAAATAAACATAGCTGGTAGAAGGGAAAGTAAAGTGTCCCGCAAAGAGCATAAGGATTACTCTGTTATTTTGCAGACAGCTTCTATCATCCATGAATCACATCCGTAAATGGTAAAAGATGGATGGATGGACGGACGGACAGACGGATGAATTTTGAAGGTGTCATTTGCAACATGCTATAAATTGTAAGTTTGCTTTATCAAGTCCAAATCAAAATTTCTTTATCAGTTCCAGTGAGTTCCTGATGGAAACATAATTCTTTGTGTTGAGAGCTGTTCCTGCACAACAGTGATTTAATTTATATGCAAAAAAGTAAAAAAAGATCAACGAGATTTAAAGGGGAGTGGTTAGCTGTATGTCAAAATGACTAACATGCTTGTAAAGCGTTAAAGCATTTCAAATTCCCCTGATTAAACCAGCAGTTAACCCTAAAGCGCTTCTACTTATAACCTACAATATAACTCTCATTGTTGGCTAACATGGAAAAGCTTCACAAATTATATATCTCTTAGGCTGCTTCAATGAAAGACATTTATATTTGTGAATGAGTTTTTGTAAAGGTTTAACAGCGGAAGCGGAGCAGCTCTTAAAGAACCAAAAGAACAATTGTTAACATGCACACCCAGTAAGAAAAAGTCACAAAGGCAACTACTCATTTTTATCATTTACCTCTACCTTTATAATTCAAATCTCATCCTCAAAGGAATAATGGATTAATTCATTTTTTTTGACAATTCTGGAAATAGTTTTGCACTGACCCCATCAGTAAAGTAGCTTATCCATTTCCTGTCTGATGGGATCTGTACAACAATGGCTCTAGCTATTAAAGCCTCTTTTATAGTTGAAATGCAGAACTTCACCACTCACTGTGTGTCTTTCTGTCCGTGGAAATCCATCATCATAAGTTTCACATCTGATATTTTCTTAATAGTTGGTGCTTAGTGCACACAGGCTTATACGGGGCTTACTGTCATGCCATCAACCAAATGAAAGAATTTTCCTCTTTTAGACTGTTTCTGTATTTCATGTGCCTTTTAATCCTTTATGTATATATTATATTATCTTCTAAGTAGCTTAATATTAAATTAGACTAAGCATTAAAATATCTCTTTTATATTTCATAAAAAATTTTAAACAAATAAATGAGGTTTTCTAGAATTTAATGTTGAGGCAATATTAAAGGGGCTTAGTTTTCGAATCATACTGCCACCTGTGGCCAAAACACAGAACTGCAGGACTCTTCGGCATGTTTTGTTTTTTTCTTTTCTTTTTTGTCTGAGTTGAGCTGGCTGTAAGTCGCTTCTGAGGATCCACAAAATCCATCTTGAACTACTACGCTTCAATTGTTAGCAAGTTTGAAAATATTAAAGAAGGACACGGTTAATGACACATCTGCAGAAACAACGTGGGGATTTCTGACCCACAGTACTTTTAGGGAAAATTGGCCACAGGCTTACAGATGCATCAATGCTGAACTACCAACGTATCACTCTTCTAATCAATGTTTCAGTCGCAAAAGATCAAATAAAAAGGCTATTGTAAAGATATTTTTCACTAAAGACTAAAATAATGTCTCTGTAAATTATGTATACTGAACGTTTTAGTTTTAAACATTTAAACTGGTAAGTCAGCATGTTTAAAAATTATTTGCATAGCCTCTATCAATTTTATTCACGGCTATGAATAAAGTTATTCTT